ATGTTGCAGCACCCTCATTTTTGCCACATAATAAGCCTAACTGCTTTTACTGGTATTTACCAAAGATCAAAATAAAAAGAAGAAATAAGGATAAGGGCAAACCTCTCAAAACTAATCACTGTTCAGCGGATGTTCGCCCGTCCTCAGTGTTAAACACCGCCTTGTTAGCTGACACCTGTCACACATGGTTCGTTCCATGGCAAGTATTATGACGAGAATATGACGCGCGAAGGCTTGTACCGTGGACTACGTTCCAGTAAGGATTCCAGTATGTTCGTTAAAGTTGTCTATATTACCCTGAAATTTACTTCAGAAAACCAATCGAAAAATACTACAGTGATATCGGTATAACGAATTTTGTATGGACAAACTGCAAGAAGCGACTTCGGGAACCGCTAATCGATTTGCAGAATATGATGCTAAAGTGCTTACGTGAGGAGCCACGTTTCAACCGCTATGTGAAAACAGAATATCAGGCCAGTTCTTCCTTTACTTTTGACTGACTGCAAAAAGCGCCGCGATGCAACAAAATCGAAAATTTCAGTGAAAAAAAAGGACCGGGAGCTCAAACAGCAAAATCTGAGTGGTCAAAATACTGCACCTCCGGCTCTTCACGTATTTTTCCTATCTCACTCTTCCTTTATTACCCCTTTTATTCTTTTACGTCCTATTATAACGTAGGATTTTTGGAGCAGCTCGTATTTCATGACCTGAATCTCCATCTACGCAACTGGCAACTTCTTCATCAACTATTATCTCGTGCTTTCCATAAGCCTATACCATACTCAGTAAGCCAGTGCTCCTTATAATGTTCTAGCACAAATCGCGGATTCTTTTGTCTCTAAATGTTTGTTTTTCTTCACTGCAGGTAATGGTAGTGGGCATTCCGAATGTCGGCAAGTCGTCACTGATCAATTCACTTCGATTGGCCAACCTCGGCAACAGACAGAAAGCAGTACAGGAAGGTAACACTTCTTTTGAATGCCCAACTTGGTGTACAGTCTGCTGTAGTCCTCGAACCTTTGTTTCTTCAAATCTATCG